GAGATCGTCTGGGGTGGGCTACACTAGCCTTTTTTTTGTTGGCTAGCTCGAGCTTAAAACCCTAGCGCTTCAAGGTCGGCTCCTGGTTTGTCGACACTGATCCGAAGTACAAAACACCTATTCGTTATTTTAAACTCTTTTATTTCTTACGGTTTCGGTGTTTATAGTGTGTGTGTGTGTGTGTGTGTGTGTGTGTGTGTGTGTGTGTGTGTGTGTGTGTGTGTGTGTGTGTGTGTGTGTGTGTGTGTGTGTGTGTGTGTGTGTGTGTGTGTGTGTGTGTGTGTGTGTGTGTGTGTGTGTGTGTGTGTGTGTGTGTGTGTGTGTGTGTGTGTGTGTGTGTGTGTGTGTGTGTGTGTGTGTGTGTGTGTGTGTGTGTGTGTGTGTGTGTGTGTGTGTGTGTGTGTGTGTGTGTGTGTGTGTGTGTGTGTGTGTGTAGTACTGGCCAGTGATGATGGGATTCTGCAGCGGGTGGGGTTTCTCAGCGGTGGATGAACAGTACGGTGCTCGATGGCTGTCGCAGTATGGCACAACGGATGTCGTGCCGGAGCTCGATGGACTGATCGACGGTGGACTTGCTGTTCACCTGTTGCTAGTTTAAAGCGGTCGTAGATAGCTTGCCGATCAACGCTTGATAAACGGGTGGTGCTGGCGGTATAGGGTTCACCCTCACACTTTTCGACAAACGTTTTTCTGTGGCCGGATCGCAATGCCTTTTTAGCCCGTATTTAATGGGTCCTGAGGGGAATATGAGAGGTGGTCTTAGGGCTGGGAATTCCGCTACCGGGTTATTAATTGGGTCCTACTCCGTATTCGGTGGTATTAGCTATTATTTGTTGGTAACTCTTCACTATGAAACTCACTGATAATTTATAGGAACTATCGTGCGCAATGGCTGAAGTAGAAGAGAACCTTCTCTTTAGTTTTATCCAGTAGCTTATCCCTTAACCTAAGCCCATTTCCACCTTCCTCCCACTTTTCCACCACCCCTTGTCCATATCCTTCTCCCATTTCCAACGCCCATCTTCATCCTTTCTCCTTCCCGTTACGTGTTCTGTGTTATGTGTTGTTGATGTGACTGGGTTACAATTATTTAATTTGGCCGTTGATGTGGGAGTGGGTTTTCCTTATATATTTACATTCAAAAACAATACAATATTGTACACAAAAACTAACATACAAATCTTAGCTCCCATGAGCATTGATCGAATTTATTATGAATACACATAGGGTAAACGCTCCTATAGTTGCGGTACGTTAGAAGCGTTAGGTTCCTATAGTTGTGTATTGAGTCTCCATACACAACTATAGGAACCTAACGCTTCTAACGTACCGCAACTATAGGAGCGTTTCCCCTATACCCTATTCCTCGCTCTCGCTATCACCTGATTTTTCTCACTTGAAGTGAATCAATAGGGTGCAGGAATCAAAACGATAATAAATATGGTTTTAGGATTATCAGGAAGCTGAAATTGCGTATAATGGGGCAAAAGTTTGAGTCAGTGGGGAGGCTTCTAAGGAGATTCCTGAGAAAATTACGCATAGAAAATGCTTCAAGATCTGAGGCTACTAAAATTCTCTGAATGTCTATTGATCTTATTTGAAACTCAAGAAATTGCTCCAGAAAAATAAAATACAGGATTCAGAAGAGAAACGCACATGGTTGTGACGCCATGATTTAAAATTTTGAAATATACTATCGTTAAGGATAAATTACCTGTATTTATTTACAAATCTTGTCTGACCAATCAACCGGGATATATAAAAATCGAGAAATCCGGGAAACCGTGGCCACTGGGATGATTCCGTGAAAAGCAAATGAATTTAGATGCTGAAACAGAAAAATAAACTTCTTCTCTCGAGAACAAAAATAATATTCTGATACTTGAAAAAACTTTAAGGCTTTTAGACTGAAATAGATTTCTAAGATACAGTCACTTTGAAGAAGTAGTAATAAAATATTGATGTTCCGAATTTTGAAGACATTTCAGAATAAATTCTAGCGATAACACCAAAATATTTCAGTGAAAAATTCCAACGGAGTTTTGGAAAGAACTCTAAGTGAGTTTTTTTTAACTTCAAGTCAAATGTAATATGAGTTCCAAGATAGAATAAAGAAGAGTTCAAAGTTGAATTCTTTGGATGTTCTGAGCAAAATTCCATGGTGTTTGTTAAATGGATTCATGGTTTCGAGAATTCAAGCGAGGTTTAAGCAAATTCGAAGTAAATCTTTTTTTGTTTATTAATTTATTTGATAAGGCTCAACCGAATTAACTTAACAGAGCCGAGGATTCTTGGTCACTATACAAAACATCTTAAAAATATAGTCAAAAGGTACAACACAATAAACACTTTATCTTCCGCTATCCAAAAAGCCTCCTCCATCAGAACTGGAGCCGCTTCCAGTAGTTTCATTGTATGGCAAATTGTTGTATGCCAACGAGGGTCAGAGCGCGTCCATTGCAGCAATGGACACAAAACGTGGTCAGCACTCACACACTCATCACGAAACCAACAATCAATACGAAACTAACGATTTTAAATTGGCTCACCACTTTAGTAGCCTATTGGTCCCAAGCAAACGATTAACGTACCCTATTCTAGTTGAAATTCTATTACTACACTATGTTTGTTTTGATTCGCTATGAAAGTTTGACAGATAACATCAGGGGTGTGTGGATTCATGCAGAACATACAGGGGTGAGTGAAATAGCTTGGGACTGCTTGGGACCGTTGTTCTGGTACTGAGTGAGCCAAAAATAATAATGATTTTCTTCGGGACCCAGTGGTCTTAGAGTTACCTCTATGACGAAACGGTTGCTTTCCAAAGTCGACGACGCATCGACCGAAAGAACTGCTGATGAAGAACAATGAGGAGGACCACACAATGGTTGCTGTCGAGAAAACAGACGATCGCGTAGCACACATCGAGAGTGGCCTGCTTTTGTCGACAGCCGAGTGAACACTGAAGTAAATCTTAATGATAATGAATTGCATGAATCGCATGATTTTTGAGTGAGTGAGTGATCTGTATTGAATTTCAGGAATATTATAATACCCCAAGAGATTTTCAAATTTATTTTAGATTAATTCTGAATAGAGCTAAGGGAAATCTTGGATTCGGCAATACCTTAACATATTATCGTCAGGGGGCAACTCAAATTTGGCCAATAGATACTCTGAAACACAATGTATCCGTATATCAAATTAAGCTCTCAAGGACGTTTTTTACCCCCTGACGATAATAGAATAAGGTATTGCCGAAGCCGTCATTTATCTTATGTGAAAGTATATTATGTTAAAGAAAATTCATGAGAACATTTCTAAAGAAGCCTGTTAAGAGATCTATGAGAATTTTAAAGGTAGTTTAAACATAGGCGAAATATTGCTGTGTTTATACCTTATTTAGCTTAATCGCATTCGGTTATATGCTGAATTTAAGTATGAATCGCACAACCGGAAAAAAAAAAAAAAAAAAACAGGAAAAACCGGAGAAGAACCGAATATTGCTAATTGGAGTTGATCATTACGTGAAATCAAGAAATTAAAGTTTAACGGAAATTTCAATTTTGGTTAAATTACTAATTTGACCTAGTGATCTCTTCGGAGTTTTCAAATTCGTCCTAATAGCATTCAACATAATAGCACTCGGCTAAATGGCGTCTGGCCTAATACTTCATCTAAACAAATTGGCCCCTCCCTATTTCGAAACTTGACTATGCCCTTGGCGAACGTTTTGCTTACTCTCAATTAAGTGTTGCAGATGAACTTCCACAGTTATTTATTGAGCGTTTTTTATGCCAACCAATGCATGAATTTGTATGTTGTATGGAAAGCACAACGATACTCTATGCCCAGGGAAGTTGAAAACATTTCCAATCCGAATGATTTCCTAGACTGGACCGAACTGTCAATACGTAACACCAAACAGGTCTTGAGCGTTCAGCTGAAATTAAATTTAATACCCACATGTTTTAGAATCACCATATTCCTAAGTATTCAACCGATGTTCAACCGTTGCCGATTCCTGGTACAATTACATATATATTTTAATATTTCATTTATATTATCCAAATAAAACAAATGGCATCTTCAAGGAAACCATTCGGAAATTTCATTGATGAATAGTACGAACAGCAGTAATCAAAGCCACTAGTGTGCGCAGAAGGGGTGGCATACAACTCTTAAACTGTTGCCATCAGTCATTTTGTTCATTTTCAGAACTGATTTTGGGATTATGGGACACCTCAAATGGATACAAACACGAATTTTATTAGTCATGGCAATCCGAAGGGAGTTCATTCGTGAAAGAAGAGCAGGATGTTGCTGTAAGGCGGTCTTAGACATTTTTGTTTTGATTTGATACTGTGTATGTCATGTGTTCGAAAAAACATAGGCTGGCAACAAAGTTTATCCTGAACAAATATTCAAAATAGATTTTTTTTCCTGAAACCGCAAATTTGAATCCGTGTGGTGTGTCTGAATGAAGGTACCCATATATGTGACGAACCGTCACCTAATATAAAGTCTGCTTTCCGATCGTATGTTTACTCTGGCCTGTAGACTCTTGCTTCGGAGCCGTGAAGAAACGAGCAGAGAGAATTTAGTGCAAACAAATATCAAACACCTTAAAAAGTGAGGAAACGCATAATTCAACAGCCGGACGGACGAAACGAGTGCGGATAATTTGTTGTTTGCCGAGCACTGTGGAGTGGTTTCTTTTTCTGTAACAACCGTTTAGCGATGCGTTCGTAGAACTTTGGACCACACTGTACAGTGCAAACAGAAAAGTTCGTACACGCTATTTCCTCCCTATGTTGAATGATTTTTATTTTGTAGGATGTTGGCAGAGTCGGCCTGGTCTGGTCGTGCCATAAGAGTTTTGGCGGTTCCTGGCCGTACAACCGCTCAGCTAGCCATAGGGTTCGGATGAATCGTGATTCTCAGTAAGTTTCGGTTCTCAGAAATGTTGGTCGTGCATGGAATTGAGTGTAATAAATGTGACAGAGTCTAGTTGATCCGTGATATCAAAACACACCTCTGTAGATCTCCTCGGAAATTTGGAATTGTTGATAAGGGAAACTTGCTTGTATTGGCTTCTATTTTGTTTGATAGTGTGAGTTTTGATATAAGTTACCTGCAGTTGATGAGTGATTTTACTGTAACAGACCAACAGATAAGATAAGCAGGAATGGCACCTACTCTGGAAGGGTTGGCTCAGTGCTTGATACATAGTATTTTTTATAATTTTCCCCATCAATTTCGTTCGATACGTGTCTTGTTTGTGTGACTCGGTAGCCCACCCGTTCGCTTCTTAGTCGCAATGAGATGTTCCTCGTGACTCGAACAAAGTGCTACGGAAAGCCGTTGAAGCAGATATTCTACCGTGCAAGCGCTTAGTTCAAGGATCTCAACATAAAACAGTGAGTTGTGATTTGTGTTCGAAAGCAGGAGAGTGATCCGTTCGATTATCCTCAAAGATGAAAATGGCCGTAAATGCAGTGTCAGCTAATGATCCGTCCGATTCGAATAATAATAATTTAGCAGTTAGTAGTGTCAATGCGACGACAGTTAGCCTTAGTGTCAGTGTGTCTACGATCGCGAATGGAAACTCTGGAGTAGGATTGCTGAAGGTAATTTCCGATCGGAATCTCCGATAAACTGGGGTTTCCCTCCAAAAATTCAAAATGCGTGTGATATGCAGCTGTAGCAGGGTTTGCAACTGATTGGAATACCGGCAATCTTGTTGAGGAGATAGCGTACGATACGGGAGGCAGGCACGCCGGAGATAAAGTTTTATCGGGGAATGCAGTTTGTCGTTCAGATTACGTTTGTTATGGTGAAGATTTGGATGACGATGTTTTCGTGACTCACGATTTACATATGTCTTCAAATGATGTTTTAAAATTTGCTTTGTAGACATTATATTTGAACATGCTAAATAAAATCGAAACAATTGACTTATTTTTTCACAGGCCTTTGGTCAATTCAGTATCTTTTTAGTATCTTTTTCCTAAATTTGTCTAATTCTATTGGTCACCAAGTTGATTTTTTTTTGCTGACAAATATGAATTATAATTTGAAGCATAGTGAAATAAGAGTAGATGGGCCGAAACTTGATTCAATCCGGACTTTAAATAATGATTCGTTTCGAACATGACTGTAAAGTTGTTTGTTATCCAATAAACAAAGTATAATAATAGTAATACACTGAGAGTGAGCGCATCTAGCATGGATTGGCTAGAAAGTCAATAGAAAATCGTAAAACTTTGTAAATTTACATGCGGCATATTGATGTATTTTCTGACATAAGTTGAAACAGATAGCAATATCACATTATCCAAATAAATACTTATTACATTAATAGACATTGAATTTTACATGGAAACCATAAGTTCAATTGAAATTTTTAATTTTCAACGAACAACGATACACATTGACATGAACTTGTAAATTTCAGCTTTAATCAGTTGAGCATGCAATTTTATATTTAAAAACTTACTACAGTTGGTAGCTGAAAATTACAAAATATTTATATTTGTGGAGTTCAAAAGGATCTACCTGCTTCAGAAAGGGAATACTTTCCTCAAAGTAGGATGGTTTTAGTTCGTCAAATTGAAGATTGAATTTTTAGTTTACAAGAGCATAATTTAGAAAGATAGGTTTCTGAATTTTTGCCTGTTGGTTCATCATTTATCGGTTATCGGTATAGTATTGAACTTATTTGGTTGAGTGAGTAATAAAGTAGATCTTTTTAAGAGAAACTAGATTTTATTGAAATATAATGCACCAAACTTCTTGAAATTTTGCTAATTTGTAAAATCTATCATATGCCACTAATTTAACTATAATCCGTCCACTACGCAAAAAGCTTAAATTCGAGCGTTCTACTAAAATAGATCTAACTTCATACAGGCTCTGCCAACATTCACTGAAAAACAATGGTGGGTCTTGTTCACTCTGGTTCACCATGCATTAGAGATAGAGGTTTGAAACATTGATAAAAGTTGTAGCTTATCAAAACCTACAAAAGCTTCATACATTATTTTACGGAATTCTGATAATGAAAAAAGTTAGATGCAAATGAATGTAAATTAATGCATGAAATGAATGTAAATGATTTTCCATGCCTGTCCTCTAATATAGTCCAAACCTATACCGATAAATCAATAAATAGTTGTTCAATCACCAACCAACATTTCAATAATATTTCTATAAGTTTTTCAGATTTTTCAGATTCATTCAGATTCCATTCAGATTTTCGCTTAATTTTGCGATACACTGCATATCAATGCAGATAGGACCTTTTTAGATGTTTATCTAGAATTATTAACGATAAATGAGTCTCAGTGTCTCAAATTCACTCTGTAAATGTCTTTAAAATATTAAGATGGGTGAAGGCATAAGCAGTGGTTGAATCCATGAGCGAGGCAACTGACATTTTGGCGATCCCAGAAACCGCTCACCTCGATCAAATCAAGTTCTTGTAAGCATAAGCAATTAGCACGAAATAGCTATTTATACAACAAGTTGCAAAAAGAAGACTTTTTCAACTCGAGTCGTAGTTTATCGATAATTACGACAAGTGTTTAACAAATTGAATTTTGCAAAGAGTTGCATTCAAAATGTTTTGATATTTTTTGATTATTTATTCTTTATTATATTGACATATATCTATTTCGGGCAGGAAGTTAAAACACCTGGATTGACGACCTTTTATTATTATTCTTGTTCATCATCTGACATTGTGAATTTAATAAAATATTTCTAATATTACCCTTTATGTTTATTTTAATATTATTACAGTCCCTTGATTTCTTATCTTAAGTTATACGAAAACTTCTTCTTCTTCTTCTTCTTCTTCTTCTTCTTCTTCGCATTTCAAGCTTATTGCCATTGCTTTTCGCAATTATGTGCTTCCACAACTTAGTGTTCTAGATGCACTTCCACAGTTATTAATTGAGAACTATCTATGATTGTACCATTTTTGCATTAGTAAAATTGTGTGGCAAGTACAATCATACTTTGTGCCCAGGGAAGTCGAGGAATGTTCCGACCCGAAAAATTCCTAGACCGGACCGGGAATGGAACCCAGCCACTTCCAGCATGGTCACGCAAACTACACGACCGTTGAATCTACTGAAATGCGAGTTCCGTTAACTCAAATTCGCAAAAATTGCGGTTATTCATAGACTGAGTAAATTTTTACTCAAATATGAGTAAACGTCACTCTGTGCTCAGTCTTTTTTTTTGCTTTTATCGTACACAGAAAAAAATTCTGAATTTTAACTATCGCGTAAAATCTCCCTTCGTTTAATATTGAGCTATACTTGGCATAAACAGCGAAATCGTTTACAAGCTTGCATACAATATTGCTAATTTATGCGATATTGCGCGAAATATCGCGTAAATTTATGTCAAATCTAGCGTTAATTTTATGTGCGCTATATCTCGCAGAAATTTACATGAATTTTTCGAACGGTGTATACTAATTAGATTAATCGACTCAGCTTGACGAGATCGTAAAATATCGGTCTGTACATGTGTGATGTATGTATGTGGACTGGATTCTGTGTGTTACTCACTTTTCTCAGAAATGGCTTAACTGATTTGAGTGCATCCGGTTCCATGTTGTTTGTATTGGACTCCCATGAGCTTTATCCAGATCGGATACCTGGTTCTGGAGATATGAAGCTTCTCACTCCATTTTCTCGTCAATGGCTTAACCGATTTGAGCACAACTGGTTCCATATTGTTTATATATGTGTTTGAGAGTATTGCCACTTCCGTCCATTGCTGTATTGACCGAGATTATGGATTGATCTCGGCCTCTTACTCTTAGATGGAAGTAGCACTATCTCCAACAATCGAGAACTGTCCTGGTCACATCCTTGCTACTGCTTGGGATGGAAAGGATTTTTAGTTGAACACTTACTTGAATACTTACTTATGCTACTGCTTGGGATGGGAAGGATTTTTAGTTGAACACTTACTTAAGAATGATGCAGAGAACTCTACGACAGAGATGCAGATATGGTCAAAATACTGAAATTATGCAATCAAACAGTAATTGGTCTCCCATAGAACCCTATTGAATTTTGTGTCAATCGGACATTTGGTTACGGATATATAGTCAGTACCGGAGTGAGGATCCGGGAGCCTGGGGCTGTTATCCTAAGGGGGTATTTTTCCTTCTACCATCTTATTATGAAAAAATAAAATATCTGAAGAAAAAAATAATACATATACATAACTTTATTATATAAAGTCTCCATTTCGCTACAAAACAATCAAAAAATTGTGATTAAGGGGAAAATTGGTCACCGGGGAAAATTGATCACCGGGGTAAAATTGGATGGTTGGTGGAAGATATCAAGAGAAATCTTGATAGCATTCACACTACCAAAAAGTCATGTAAATTTCGGTGCCATGAGACCGACACATGCAAGCGACCCAAATGACACAAGAATCAGTTGAAAGAAACGAGAAAATAAATTCAATCAATCGTACTTTTCATCGAGTTGCGTATGTTTCGGTTTGGGAACACTTAATTTTACATGACATGTTTGTTTACGTTCCATAATTTACGTCAAAGATGGATTACGTCTCGTGTAAAAATAGTTATTTTTAAGTGTGTTTCATTATGAGATTCCAATGCTATGCTAAGGGTGTGTTAATTTTATGTGCGCTAGATTTAGCGTAAATTTACATGTTTCTTACGAACTGTGTACCGACACATGTAAGCGGCCCTTTTGACATAAGAATCGGTTGAAAGAAACTAGAAAATCAATTCAATCAAACGTTCTCGTCATCGAGTTGCTCATGTTTCGGTTTAAGAACACATAATTGTTCATATAATGTTTGTTTACGTTTAATGATCTACATGCAATATGGATTACGCCTCGTGTACACAATTCGAAAAAAAAAATCATGTAAATTTACACAAAATCTAGCGCCCATAAAATTAACGCACCCTTAGCATAATTTTACACGTGCTCAGAAAATTACATACTATTTTTTATGAGTCACGTAAAATTACAATCATCGCGGAATTTTTGACGATCGTGTAATTTTACTCCTATTAGTTTTGATTTTGAGTTTTGGTTGCATTTTTTCTTATTTGATTATTCATGACGGTCTGCTTTAGTTAGGAATAATTTTATTACCAGATCTGGCTGACTTTGGAATCAATCCCAATATCACTCTAAATTAGGAGATCTTATTTTTAGAACTACTAATAAAGTTTAATCATATAAGAAGCATTCCACAATTAATTTTCAGATAATCTTTTGATAACTATTATGTCAAGTCAAGCGTCATTTCTGGTCACTGCAGCATGACCGTTTTTGTTACCGTGGAAAACAAGAAAAGAAGAAACAAATAATTATCACGTATTGCCTACCAAACATTACTATTACTATCCATTAACAAAATTTTAGATTTGAAATAACGAAGATTGATTGATCATAAAACTAAAAATCAATCAAAACGCGCGAGAAAATGGCAGATTTATTTTTCTGCTTTCTGACAGGTACTCTGAACACGTCCAGTAAATTTATAGAAGATGCCGCAGAGAATTACTTGCGCAGCATAAAATTCAGATATAAGTAGTAGCATTTTATGCGATGGTGTG